AGCCCGGAGCTGTGGGCCCAGCACCCCAGGTGATGCCTCGAGTTTCAGCATTTCTGTTTTCCACATCCTGCCCTGCCTCAGTGCATCCCTCTGAACTCCACAGAGTGTTGGTTACCAGCTTCACTTTCTGGGCACACAGAACAATCCCTCCAGACCCGAGATCCAGGGACACTCTGCTGCCTCAGGCTCCAAAAAGCATCAACAGAAGTGAACTGGGGGTAAATGGCTTCATTACCTGGAGCTGTAATTGGACAATTAACCCCTGATATGTAAATGAACCAAACTCATATTTGTCTGAAAAACTCAGGACCACTGTGCACCTTGGATGCTGCTGACTGCCCAAGGTGTAGCTACCTTTAAGGCCTTTAATGATATTTATTATTAATAAATACTTATTAATTTATTAGTTATTATATATAATTTATTATATATATAATTTATTCGTTATTAGTTATCTTTAATTATTATATTATTAATATTTATTAATTTGCCATTATTCATATTTAATCATTATATTTTAATTAATATTTATTAATTATAATAAATATTGATAATCTTCTTTATAAATAAATATTTATTATATCATAAATGAATATTTATTAATTATATAATTAATAAATATTTATTAATTTATTAATAATTACAATAATTATATTATTAGTAAATATTAATATTAAATAAATATTTATTATTTGCCATTATTTATCATTAATTATTATATTTTTATTAATAATAATTTTTATTATTACTAAATGCCCACTTTATTCTCTAACTCTGTCTAGCCCCTGTTCTAGGCAGCGACTCCAAGGCCTCACAGGAGTCACCACAAACCAAAGCCTGGTGAGCAGAGCTGGTCCTGCAGCTCCCTCCCTGCTCTCTCAGCCCCCCAGGGCTGCCAGGCCCTGCCTGGGCTTTGGGAGCTGCTGCCACTCCTGGGCCATGACTGGAACCAGCCACCAGCGGGATGTGACAAAGGAAAGACTCCAATGCTTATCCTCAAATGAAGCTGCCCAGTCTGTGCTCCTGCCAGGGCTGGGAGAGGCCACCCAAACCTGGCAGGGCAATGCCAGGAAAATCTCCCAGCTCCCTCCCCAGTCCCACCACACACACTCTGTGGAACAGCCACACTGCCCCAAAAATGAGGGTCAAGGAATCATGGAGTGTCCTGAGCTGGAAGGGACCCACTGGGATCACTGATCCAACCCAGGCCCTGCACAGACACCCCAGAATCCCACCCTTCCCAGAAATGAGGGTCAAGGAATCATGGAGTGTCCTGAGCTGGAAGGGACCCACTGGGATCACTGATCCAAACCAAGCCTTGCACAGACACCCCAAAATCCCACCCTGGGCACCCCTGGCTGTCCAAACCCTCCTGGAGCTGTGGCAGCCTCAGGGCCGTGCCCATTCCCTGGGGAGCCTGGGCAGTGCCAGCACCTGTGGGGGAAGAGCCTTTCCCAAAATCCAACCCAAAACCCCCTGGCCCAGCTCCAGCTGCTCCCTCAGGACTGTGGAATCCCCCCAGCCCTCCCAGTGCATCCAGGTGCAAGCCACCACCTTCCCCAAAATGCAAATTACTCTGCTTTTCACATCTCAGAGCTCTTCCAAGCAAACCTGAGTTAATAATTCCTGATTCTGGAAGCTCAGATTTGTGTGTTCACTCAACAATTGGTGCACTTGCAGCTTTGCACAAGGATGAATAAACACTTCACATCCTGTTGGTTCATAGTCAGAGGGGCCACAAGAACCTGTGTGCCTGATCCATCCTCACTGCAGCCACTGGAAAGCACCTGGCCCAGAGGCAGCACTGCCACCCTGCCCTGCTCTGGGTGAGAGAAAGGCTCAGGAAAAGGGACCTGGCTGCTTGTTTATAATGGATTTATTACAGACTAATTTAGGATTCCACAGACTCCAGGTTCTCTCACTCCATTAAGGCTCCAGGCCACAAAGTGAGGCACAGCTGATGAGCAATGACAGAATTGCTTTTACAACCCAGGTGTAGCACTGGAGGTAAAGTGCAAATCCAGGTTACTGCCAGCAGAAAAAGAAAGTAATTACATTATTGGTTCCTTATGCTCTGAGTTAATACCTTTAAATCAAATACATAAGAAAAGTTAAAAGTCTTAGGCATTCACTAAGGTGTGTTTTCCCTCAGAGCAGAGTTCTTTGACTGGAAGGAGACTTTGTGAAAGGATTTCTGCAAATGACAACTCCTTTTGGAGAGAAACACATGAGCAGAGCAGGTTATTGTGTTCAGCGTGGCCCAAGAACTGATCAGCCTCCCATGAAGACGCTCCTTCAGTTTGCCATCAGAGGGGAACCTGTGGCAAGGAGGCTCTGTCAGAGCCAGGCAGGAGGAGATGCTGCCTGGGAGCTGCTCCGTGGGGTTCCTGTCCCTCCCCAAAGCCCATCTGGCACTTGCTTGGGAATTCACTGCCAGGCAGGAGCTGCAAGCTGCTTGACTCTCACGTTTGCTTCCCTAAAAACTGCAATTCCCAGTTTTGCCCTCCCTGCTGCCACCACTCCAAACTCAGCCCTCTGCCATCTTCCCTCCCCAGCTTCAACCAGCTCAGGGCAGAATAAACCCGGCAAATCCACCGCAACTCACAATGAATGGGTCTGTAAAACAGAACCCAGCACAGAAACCCTTCTGAAGGGCAGAAATCAGACAAGTGACACTGAATCACACAGCTGACTTCCTGGAATTCCTCACTACACTGCCATGATTCCAGGGTCACGTTTTTAATAAATCCAAGCAGTTCTACAGAAGTTTCCACAGCAGAGACCACCAGCAGCTACAATCTGGGTGTTCCTTTGCAGAATCCCAGACTATTGAGGGGTGGAAGGGACCTCAGGAGTTGATCCAGCAGGGCCAGCTGGAGCAGAGGACACAGGAATCATCCAGGTGGGTTTGGGATGTCTCCAGAGAGAGGGACATTCCAGGCCCTCCCTGGAGCTGTTCCACAGAACATGGAAAAAGTTCTTCCTCGTGGTGAGGTGGAACTTGTGTTTTATTTTATGGCCATGGCTGGGAAGGCTCTGGTACCATCCTGGCACCCTTTGGAGGTGTTTATATGAATTGGTGGGATCCCCCCTCAGTCTCTTCTTTTCTTTCTGAACAAAAGCTGAGTTGTTACACTTCATGTGTAACATGTGGGATGTGTCACCACCCCACACAACCCAGGGCATTCCCCTCCTTGAAGCCACTCCAGCCCTGGTACAGTCCCAGCCCAGAAGCCCAAATCTCCCACTCAAACACCATCAACCCTCCCAGGTAACCCCACAGCAGTGAGAGCTGGGCACAGGACACACAGATAAGAAACTCATCAAGTCTGCAAACACCAAAATGACAAAATTACAATGCAGTGAGTCAAAGCCAGGCAGTGCCTCAATAATTCTAACACTGCCTGTGGATCAACCTTATCAGTGCTGGCTGCAAATGAAACCCCAGAGCTGCAGCAGGACAGCCCCATGTCACCTGGGCACAGAAAACACCTTTTTCACCCAGCTGATCACCCAGGACTCACAGGGTACGTCCAGCACACACTTTTTGGGTGGAAACATGCAGGAAGAGGCATTTTTTCCCTCCACCCTGCTTACTCTCAGGCCAGTGCCCTTTGTGGGAAAGGAGCTGTCACAAGGAGCAGCTGGCTGAGGCCAGCACGGAAAACTCACCCCGGAAGGTAATAAATAAAAGGGAAGTCAGAGGAGTGCCTCTGATTCATCTGCTGCCCAAGGCCATTCCAGCTGGGGAACAGCTCAAAGGTGTGCTCAGAAAACACCAGCAGAGCCCATCACCCCACAGGATATGGGTTATCTGATCATCACCGAAGTTTGGAAATTACAGATGCCCACAGCAATCTCATGTGCACACTTCCATGGATAAACAGCAAGAAACAAAGTTCAGGGTGTCAGCACTCCACACCCTGCCAGTTACCTGGAGAAACCAGATAAGGCTGTAAAATGTCTCTGCAGCTCCTGCACAGTCACTCTGAACTGGAGGGGTCACCCAGCTCAATTTGCTGTGAAAATCGTGCAGGGTGAGGTTTTTCACCTTCAAACTCGCAGGCTGAACACCCTCAGGGGAGCTGGGGTGGTGAACACTTTGCAAGCACGAAATTAGTAATTTTTTTCTCACATTGAGAAGTCCAGTGCTGAGCACCAGTGGCACAGAAGATCACTATTAGTAACACAAATTATCAAAAGCTCGCTGTGTCATAAGTGGCTTTCTGCCAAATGTTCCCTGCCCAGTTCTCACCATCAACCTCAAAACTGTGGGTTTAAAACTCTCAAGCAAAGCGGAATTTTATCAGCAACACCACAGAGTTCTGTTCCTGTTAGACACAAGTGAGCCAGCACTCAGAAAAATCCTTTTAAACAGGGCACAGAGCCGGAGGTACAAGGTGTCAGTCTGTGAATCATAGATCACAGAATTACGGAATAGTTTGGGTCAGAAGGTCCTTAAAGCTCCTCCAGTTTCCCTTCTGCTGTGGGCAGGGACACCTTCCACTATCCCAGGTTGCCCAAGCCCGTCCAGCCTGGCCTGGGGCACTTCCAGTCAAGCTCTTCCCATCCCTCACCCTAAATCAAGATTTCCAGCACCCAGAGCCCTCAACCTGCCCATGACACTCTCTATCCTTTCCCAAGCACATCTCTTTCCAGGCACACCAGCAGGCAATTTTTTTCTGCTGTGCTAGAGCTTTTTTTTAGTGTAAAACATGCTGGAGAGGCAAAATGATAACAGTCAGCCCTGAACTTTGAGGGATTCCTGGAAGCCAGCGCTGGACACACACCCCGAGGGATTCGGGGAGCGGGCACTGCCGGACCGGGACCGGAGCCGGGAGGGATGGGAGCGAAAGGAGAGGAAGGAGAGAAGGAAAAGGAGGGAAAGGGACGGGATGGAAGAGAAGGGATGGGACGGAGTGGGAGAGAAGGTACGGAACAGAGGGAATGGGATGGGAAGGGGCGCACAGGTCCGCGGCATCCCGGCGGGCATCACTCACCGACCCCGTACTTCTCGCGTTTGGTGGGGATCCAGCGGGCCAT